ATCCTCACAGCACTGAAGGAGAATAAGCTGGTGGCTAATAAGAGGAAGTGTTCTTTTGGTCAGCAACAGTTGTCTTACCTAAGGCATATCATTTCTGAAAATGGGGTATCTGCAGATCCAAGCAAAATAGAAGCCATGAAGGATTGGAAGAAACCACAAGATCTAAAGGGTTTGAGAGGTTTTCTGGGGTTGACTGGCTACTATAGGAGATTTGTCAAGGGGTACAGCAAAATTGCTGCTCCATTAATTCAGTTATTGAAGAAGGATGGATTCAGATGGGATGATGAGGCTACCGTAATTGACCATGACCACCCTACCAATACTAAGAACCCCTGATTTCAGTAAGACCTTTACTGTGGAAACTGATGCTTCTGGTAAGGGTGTGGGGGCTGTATTGATGCAGGAAGGAAGGCCCATAGCCTATATGAGTAAAGAACTAGCTGCCAAACACCAAATGAAGTCAGTCTATGAGAAAGAACTTATGGCAATAGTTTTTGCTATCCAAAAATGGAGACCCTACCTTTTGGGTAGACAGTTTGAGGTGATAACAGACCAAAGGAGCCTAAAATACCTTACTGAGCAAAGGATTATGGGAGAGGATCAACAAAAATGGATCACTAAGCTGATGGGTTATACTTTTGTGATCAAATACAGACCAGGAATGGAGAATGGTGCAGCTGATGCTCTTTCTAGGAAGATGATTATGTTTTCCTTACGCATAGTGACTTGTCAAGAGTGGAAAGGACTGGAGCAAGAATTGGAGAAAGATTCATGGTGTGGTGGTATCATTCAGAAGGTTTTAACTCAACCAGACAAGGTGAGGAATTTTATGATCAAAGGTGGATTGCTATATTTCAAAGGAAGGTTGGTAATACCAAAAGGGTCTGGCAGAATTGCAAAGATATTAAAAGAGTATCATGAATCTGCATTGGGAGGACATTCAGGGCAAATCAGGACAATGAAAAGAATATCCAATCTATTCTACTGGGTGGGGATGAGATCTGAGGTTCAAAGATTTGTTCAAGGGTGTGACACATGTCAGAGGAACAAATACCAGGCTTTAAAACCTGCAGGTTTATTGCAGCCTTTACCTATACCTACTCATACTTGGACTGATATCAGTATGGATTTTGTGGGAGGTTTACCTCAATCTTTTGGAAAAGATACCATCTTGGTAGTGGTTGACAGGTTGTCAAAATTTGCTCATTTTCTACCTCTAGCACATCCCTACAATGCTAAGGAAGTTGTTGAGTTGTTTATGAGAGAAGTAGTGAAAATACATGGATTTCCCAGATCTATAGTAAGTGATAGAGACAGCCTCTTCTTGAACACATTCTGGTCAGAATTATTCAAGGCAGCAGGTACTACACTGAAGTATAGTACTACATATCATCCTCAAAGTGATGGACAAACGGAAGTAGTCAACCGTTGTTTAGAGACTTACTTGAGATGCATGACTGACAAGAAACCCAAGCAGTGGGTTAAATGGTTGTCATGGGCAGAACTATGGTACAACACAAATTATCATATATCCTTACAAGACACTCCTTATAAGGCACTATTTGGTCAAGACCCACCTGTAATTATCAGGGGAGATGTCAGCCTATCATCTGTGGAGGAAGTATCAAAATTGACAGCAGAAAGAAATGAAGTGTTGAAAGAATTGAAAGAACATTTGGCTCAGGCTCAGAATTTAATAAAGCAACAAGCTGACAGGCATAGAAGAGAGTTGAAGTTGCAGGTTGGTGACAGGGTGTATTTGAAGATACAGCTTTACAAGATTAGGAGTCTAGCCAGGAGAATTAATCAAAAATTGAGTCCCAGGTTCTATGGACCCTTTGAGATCCTAGAAAAATAAATCATGTGGCTTTTAAATTGCAGCTACCTATAGGGTGCAAGATCCATCCAGTCTTTCATATATCCCTTTTGAAGAAGGAGTTGAAACCTGCAAGCTTCTACCAAGATCTTCCTAAATGTTTAATTGAGGATTGTGAATTATTAGTGTGGCCAGAGGAAGTGAAGGGGGTCAGAAGAAATTCAGCCGGAGAAAAGGAAGTTTTGATTCATTGGAGAGATCTTCCGGAGTTTGAAGATTCATGGGAGACAGAACATAACATCAAACAGCAATTTCCTACTTTCCAACTTGAGGGCAAGTTGGATTTTCAGGAGGGGAGAATTGATAGAGACTTTACTAATCTGAAGAGAGGAGCTAAATACTTTAGTAAAGTGTATTCTAGAAGGAAGTAGGGTCGGTTATTAGTTAAGTCTGTTGTAAACAATAACGACCTGTTGTTAGACTTCCTTACTATAAATAGTATACGGCTGGGAGTAGTAGTTAGGCTGTTTTGACTTGTAGTCTGGATTGGGAGATAAGAGTTGTACCTCTATCTTGTTGCCTAAGAAATAAAGTTGCCTTTACGTTCTTGATTCAATCATTTGTTCTGTTAGAATCAAATCTGCAGGTTTCTAACACTTGGTCAGGCTGCACTCTTACAATTGCTAGATCAGTTAAATGAGCAAGTGGTAGGCATAAAAGAAACTGCTGGGATTTGATACTTCACTGGCACTTCTGATGGCTCATGGGAGTCTCACCTTTATTGTTCGAAACTGTTCCATGAGTTAAACTGTACTCCAGAAACACTTAATAGATTCACACAGGGGAGAGGAAAACACGTGGTTGTGCTTGATCATCAGATGTATAGACTTGTTGACATTTTTAAATTGTTGATTTCACCTCCCATAATCTCAGTTTTCGCCTTGCCTGATGGAAGTTTCAGCATGCATTTGCATGAACAACCAACCCCAATGAGTATTCCAAGACTCAACATGTTCCAACTGGAAACGCCAGAGATAATCCATATACAAGCACAACAGGGGAATATTACCTTATATGGGACTTTATATAAACCTGATGAGGGAAGGTTGGGATCTCTGCCATATCAAACTATGATTCATGTATATGGGGGTCCTGGTGTCCCACTTATCAGTGATTCATGGGAAACCACAGTGGACAAGAGAGCTCGATTTCTAAGGAGAGGCATCATAGTTTGGAAGCTCAAGGGTACAGGGGGGCCTATGCCAATGAATTGTGGGAACAGGGTCTGTTATGGGGTTTATGTGCTGGGAACGCACTTGGACAGTGACCAACACTGCAGTACATACAAGTGGATGGTAATTGGAGAAGTTTGCATGGGGTTATTTGCAGACATTGAGTTGAGCAACATCAAACTTACATCCAGCACACTGCTAGTTTCAGAAGAGAGAACCTCAAAGGAGCCTCAGGAAAGCAAGGAAAAATTTGTGGCTATTCAAGGCTTGAAGGTTAATGAAGAGAATGAAACTTCACCAGATAGATCCTATGCTGCAGAGACATATGTGAATTGGAAAGATCAAGTACTGAAGATCCGCACTCAGAAATCAATGAGATACTGAGAAGGTAGAGGCGCCACGATGAAGATGAAGTGGAAGTTCAAAGTTGTCTCCTATCACCCACCTTGAGGACAAGGTAGTTGTCTAAGGGGGAGATATGATAGGGCCTTGGGCTGTAGAGAATAATAATAATAGTAGTAATAGATTGGTATTAAATAAGTGTGGTATTGTATAAATAAGGATTCCGGGCCATGTCATAAAATATGGGCTGGCCCGTTAGAATATAATTACTATAAGAGTGGGAAGGAGGGAATAAAAGGGTAGGCAGAAATTGTGTTAGGCTTTGGACTTCGGAGAGAGAGACACTCTCGAAATTGTCTCGTTATCGATTTCTAGTGTTCATCTTCATTTTCTTCCGCATTCTATTGTAATCTCCCGGTGGATTCTGGATACTTATATGTATTCAGAGAATTAATATGCAAATACTTCTTCTAATCTGTTCTGAAATCGTTGGTTCCTATCAGGAATATGATGGAATAGCAAAATGACTCACTAAATTGGTTGTACTTCTTTGTTATGAAGCAGCAGTCAGTCCATGAAATTCACGACGTGGTTTTCACTACGGGCATCCAGAAACAGTGTCTCTTTGTGCTTTAGTACAGGGGTAAGATTACATACATCTGACCCCCTTTACCCCACATACGGGATAGGGGAGGGAGTTACGACATGGCCTGGGTGATATGAAGCAGAATCTGGACTTGGAAGAACAGGGTAAGAAGCCTTTGTGGGTTTACTGAAGGCGGGGACGGGCTTGAGCCCACCTTCGTGGGCTGGTTGCAGGATGCTTAATTAATATTTATTCTTTTTAATTTTCCTGATTTGTTTCCTATTAGGAGTTAATTAGGATCTCTATTATTTGTTTCCTGTTTAAAGTTGATTAGGATCTTTATCATTCTGTTTCCTAGTTGGAGTTGATTAGGATCTTTATTTTTTTGTTTCCTAGTTGGAGTTGATTAGGATTTTTCGGATTTTGTTTCCTAGTTTAAGAATTAGTAGATGGGTATTTAAAACCCTTGTTAGGATTCATTCTGGCTCATCTGGGAATAAAAGTTGGTTTAGCCTTTTGGCTCTGTGCAACGGTATTAATACTGGGCAACGGTTTACCATTTTATTTTTCTGTTCTTATCACTGGGGCAGAGCGTTGGGACAAGCTCCAAGGTTGCGGTAGCAGTATGTGGCAGCTTGGAGAAAGGGTGTGTTGGTGGGATAAGGCAATTGCAGGGGATGGGTCACTGGCATCACTAGCGAAGGGCGGTGACCACTTGTGGCATAACTGCCATTGGGCAACGGGTAATTGTGACTATCACCGGAATAGTTGATCACCAGAAAAAATAGGTCACCCAAGAGTCAAGACGGTTGTCACCGTGATATTGGTCATGGCGGTGTGGGTCACTATACTGCCGAATGACAACATTAATGGTCTTTTTAGTCCCTTTTTGGAATTTTTTAAAAGTAATACTACATCCCTTCCACAAAAGAAGGTGGCATGGTTACCCTGAATCATACAATGTTATCAATGTTATTGACTTATTGGGATGAAAGTACACTAGGTATCCTGATTAACCTCATGTCAAAAGTGCTTTTGGGCTGGCCGTGCCTAAGGCTAGGAATTTCACAAAACATTATTTGGATTGTTTTGAATCCAAGACCAATTCAGACCAGACTTGGATAGTTATAAAATACACAGAGACCAACTTTTTCTATACAAGACCAAATAAAACCAAATCGGACCAGATAAAACCAGCAAATTTCATTAAAAATCCTTAGACTTTTGAGAAGGTAGGGGGTATGATATACTTGAGCAACAATACCGGTGGGACGGTGCTTGAGCCGCACAGCAGACTCTCTCTTGTTACGGTGTTGTCCGCCCGGGCCGGACGACTTGAATGTATTCATCTCGCACTGCCGCAGCAGCTGCTCCTTTGACATCATCAAGTACTCCCGGCCGTCTATAGCCTTATCGTCTGCCGAAGTTGCGGGGGTGCTGAACTCCGCTGAAAATATAGCCATAATTCCCCTAACTCGTTCCCTACTTTCCTTCCAACTCATCGCATGTTTTGCTTTATTGAATGAAAGGATTGAGAGGGCGCGGCGGCGGGTGGGCCAAATGAGGGAAGATGAGAACGATGTAACCGCAATATGGCCGGTTGTCAGCGGAAACTTTAGCAATAATTTACAGATAGAATGCACCATCGCCATTGATTAATCCAGAATTGAAATCCTAAGTGATTTATTCCTTTCCGGATAATCAGTTCCGATTGTCGACTGAGCGGTTCCGGTCACATAGAAATTTTTACGGGCACACAGGGACGGATACCAAGAGATCTCCAATGGCTAGTATACAAGTTATAATTATAACTTTGTTTGCCACATCAAACTTTCCCAACCTTTCCTGGTTAATACATTTTCCTGGTTAATACATTAAGGGCGTGGTCTGTTAAAGCATGGGTCCCATTTTTTATCTCACAATTTAGGATCCATCACCCATGTATTTAGGGCTGCATAAGAATAACTCAAACACGCATAACTCGTCCGACCCAACCCTACCTGATCTTATTTAATTGGGTGTTTGATTTTTAAAAATATTCATGAGTTAAATATGTTTGAACCCGCACTTAATGGGTAGGGTTGCGGAATTAACATTTCAAACCCGATAGTACCCGACCGGCCGAAGTTCATTTTACTATTATCATGCTACAATGTTTTCTCGGATAATTTCAATTTAAGACCAATGTGCTCTATCTAGGACTTTATGATATTCGAATTATAAATAAACATTTATCATTTTGACTAGGTGATTATTACGGAGTATATATTTATGTTTCCTTCTAAATGAACTTCCTTTACGGAAAGATGTTTCAATACTATTACCTAATGTTTTTGCTTATAAATGATACGAGTACTTGTATTTGCTTGTGTGTTTTGGAAACAAGTTAGTCGAGGTTTAAATTGATTACATTAATTTCCCACATAAAAGATGCAATCCGAAGTGATTTTTTCCCCCAACACCCGACCGTACCCGACCCGTTCATGCATGATTTACCAACTCATTTTGCGTACCGTGGGTTCGTTAATAGTCAACCCGAACAAATCGGGTAGACCCAAAAAATATAACAAACCCGACCCAACCCGCCCGATGTGCAACCCTACACGTATTTCCTAATTTATTTTCATTTTCATTTATTTATCACTTTTAACTCACTTTTCATCAACTTTTCCTCCTCGAATCCCATGTAAAGTCCATATATGGACCTTGTCATAGGCCTTGGTCCATTTTTACCTCTATCTCTCTCCTCTTTTTCTTTTTTCCCTACACACCACTTCATCCAAATATTTATTATATCTCTATCTCTCTCATATGTCACATCAACTACAATGCAGCCTCCCATTGGAGATGCTCTAATGGTTAGCTAAAATGTTTTCATCTTGAATAGACCCCCCACAATTCCCACAAATGACAAATCAAGCAATTTGGAAAATATACATTTTTAATAAATTGATTTATTAATACAATAAAAATAATACTTATTCGTAAATACTTTTAAATTGGGAAAATGTTAACGATATTTTTAAACTCATCAATTATAAGTGCTATATTATTATAACAAGGATAATATGAAAATGCATAGTTTAAAATTAATACCAAAAATGTATTTTTATCAGTTAAAAGATATTCTCTCCGTCCCAATTTGTTTTACAAAATTTCCTTTTTTGCCTGTCCCAAAATATTTTTCCACTTTCCTTTTTAAGCAAAGAGAAATGAATAGAATGACACTTATGCCCTTACACTTGCTTTTCCCATTTACGGATAACTCCCGGTCCCCCACCCACCCATGTACTCCGCCGTATCACTTTATCCCACTGCCCAATACCCATCATGTTCAAGCTTCTCTTTTCTCTCCTAAAATTCCAATTTGAGATGAGCTTCATAAACTTTGTACGTATTTCAATTAGCTCCCAGATTTTAAATAAGATTTTAAACCTTGTACTCCATTATATTATATACTCAACAAATATTTTTTTTCAAAATATACTCAAATAACTCTATTTATAATTATCTAAACAACCGGGTCACTTTACAATGGGAACTTTTAACTCTTTAAGCGGGATAGAGGTAGTATATCATTTACCCAATAGATTAAATATATTTGGGAATTACAATTTTAGTTCAAACTTCTATCCTTTCTAGCAACTAGCTTGTATTGGCTAATTTAACTCTTTCTAGCAACTTTCAAACACGCATTCAATAGGTAGAATCTATAGTAGTTCTTAATTCAAAAATAAGTACAACTCCAGTGTGATGCTCGGTTGGTGAAATTTAAAGGACGAAGTTTTACTCAAATTAGAAAGAAAAAAACATACACAATAATCAAGTTTGATGTAAAATGAAATGTATTCAATACAATTTATGGAGTATCAATGATTGTGGAGTAGCGCACAAATGTGTATAGTCTAACAAAATAGTAACACTCAATACAAATATAATTTGAAAACAAATTACATTCTATACTTGACTCTATGAAAAACTTATTTATACAGAAAATTCATGGTTTCACATTTCATTCTCATGTCATCGTTTGTGTGCAGTGTCATTTTTTACGTTTAGCGGTTGCTTACTCTTGACAAAACCATGCACGGTTGGTGATTTTTTCCTACAAATATGTACTTAACAATACAACATATGTACGTGTGAAAGTGTTTCACGTTTGATAAAATTCCTAAACATGATACCGTATCAAACATTTAGAAAGCATTGTACAATTAGTAAGAAGAGAGGATATGAAAGAAGCTGATATTGCCAAATAAGAGACAAATGATTAACATCCAAATATATATTTTTGGAAAACATCCAAATATATAAAACCTAAAAAACTGATATAGTATCAAAATGCATCACATAGAACGCTAAATGTTATAGAAGACTAGCTTCCATATAAACAATATTTTGAATCACTCGTTTCACCTATAATTAGGATTTTCAACCCGTTTTAATTAGTCACCCAAGACATAACACGTACCGTCGAGTTGACCGTGGCTAAACACGTTGTTTTTCAACAACAATCTAACACGGGATGATTGCTCTTGACTTTTACTTAGAATCATCGCATAAGAAGTCATGATCATGTATTATCACCGTTAAAATTTGAATGACAAGCTAGCATATGAAGGGGTTAAGTATAACTCAAGGATCGAAACTTTTTTTTTGGCACTCACACAGTACGTCACACCAGTTAAAATCTTACACTCCAAAACATGATCCCCAAGCTTCGTTAGAATAAGTCAATTTCCGTTACACAACCCTTGTGAATGATATACATTTCTTAAAAGTATTATAGGAGTCATAGGTTTGAATGATCTATAATCACGCGCAGCTATGAATGTCTCTCAAGGATGCTTTGGAAATAAAACTTTTTGTGTCGCACTAATCCTTATTAAAATCCTCTTTTATAGTAAAATGTTTTGCTAGCAATTCACCCTCGTGGTGCACAAATGACTTTGCGAAAGAGTTTTCCATTTTCAAAGGTATATATATGTGTGTGTATCAATTGAAGGTGAATTATTTATAATGACTAAGTAATAGGGCGACTTTACGTTATATGAATCGCACTCTTAGACAAATTATTCGTGTTAACAGACAAAACATGGGGTGTGCAGATATGTGAAAGTGTGTTATGTCATTTTTAAACTATACTTAAATATATATATCCATATGAAAATGTTCAAATATTCCCTTCTACAATTTCAAACGTTTTAGAAAAAAACACTATCTATCATTTATTTCATTTATGAAAAAATAATGGTATCATTAGTTTCACTTTTACTATGTATCACTTTTAATTATAAACAGGTTCTAAAAATATAAGCAAATGCTAAGACCCCTTAATTAAAAAAAACTTGTGAAATAAAAAAATGGGAAAAGGGGTAAAACCCCCCTTAAAGTTGTACCTAAAGGTCATATAAGCCCATAAACTAAATTTTTGTGCAAAAATCTTGATATCTAATAAAAAGGGAGCAACTTCCCCCTTGTCTAACGGTGAGTCCAAATAGATAACAGTCTGAAATTGACGCAGCTAAGAAACCCTAATCCGAATGAGAGGAGTCTTCCAAAATGCGAATTAAACTGCTCGCGTATCTCTGAAGTTCAAAGCCCTCTTCCTCGTTTTTCGACGAACTTAATCAAAAAAGTTTCCTTCCTCCTCTGTAACTCCATCGATGAAGCTGTCATCCTCTTCCATCGACTAACTCTACCGGCAAAGCCGCCTTCTCTCCCTCTCTGAAGAAGGTAAAACAATTTGTTTGTGTAGTTGTAATTCTTGTAGTCATTCTGTACAAATCAGCTAATGAAAACCCCTTAATTCATGTGCATATCCGTCCTAAAAATACTATCGTGCATACGTTTTTTTATTTAGAGAACTAACTAAAGAAGGAGCACATTAGAGAAAATTTACTTCAGTGTTTTGTGCTATCAAAAGAATCTTACTTGATGTTTTTTTAACCATACCCCTTAAAGATGTGCTATTATTGCTTTATACTCCAGTGACTATAGAAACAATCTTACTACCTTAATTGCTTTATACTCCAGTGGTACATAATTGGATTACATTAAAACATTCAATTTTTGTTAAGAAAACTTTCTAAAGAAACTGTAATGGTGATTTTATTGAGGACTTTTATGGTTTAAAGCTGGAATCAAAGATGGTTTCTTCTAATTTATTTTCTAGAGTTATTTCTTGTAAAATAACAATACTCAAGAGTAATGACTTTTTTATGACTTGTCACACAGAATGGATTACATCTATAATGATGTTCCAACCGGCTATGTGAGTGATATAGAAGATGATAATGAAGACGAGCTACAAGAAGTCAGTGAAGATGAGGAATTTGAGCTGAATGAAATCTGCACGGAAGGTGATGAATTAGTGGATAATAGGAACAATTGTGATGCAGAAAGTGCCGAGTCACATTTCAGATTAGGAATGACATTTGGTAATGCAAAAGAAGCTAGAAGTGCTATTGCTAACTATTCTGTTGCAGCGGGGGTTAAACTTAAAATTGACCCAAACGAACCTCAAAGAATTAGGGTGAGATGTATGAATGAAGTAGATTGTCCATTCAATCTATTTATATCTAAAGATGGAAAAAATGTTGGTTTAGCTGTGAAGACATTGGTGAATGAACATAAGTGCTATAGGCATTATTCCTTATCTAGTGCTTCCGCAAGCTGGCTGGCCAAGTATTTTAAGGATAGAATTTACCAATGCCCGAAGTATACTGCTAAGATGATGAAGCATGATGCTGAAAAAGAGTTAAAGATCAATGTAGCTATTGACAAATGTAAAAGGGCTAAAAGACTTGTTATTCAAGAGTTGGATGGGTCATTTAAAGTGGAATT